GGTACGGTATTGGCTTTAAACAAGTCAGCTGGAGAAGCGTGGAAATTCACAGCCTATTTTCAAGTGAAATTGTTTAATTTTTTCCTTCTTACAGTGTTTTCTCATTGCTGGAATGGATATTTAACAAGGTGGGCCTCAGGGTGATCCCAGTATTGAACACCGTATTTCACTGTGAAGCCAGCTAAAAAGAAATATTTTACGTGATTTACCTCCTGTTTTCCAGGGGGCTATTAAAATGCTGCTAGGGAAAAGATACAGTGAAGGAAGTGTTTAGTAACAGAAGAGCTATGTATTTTATCTCTGTCTGCTGAAAACATTTGCCTTCTGAAGATTGTTTTCTCAGCAGGTTCACTCAAGGAGAGGTCTTTTACTTCAGGCAACCAATATGAAGCAATGTTTTACTGAATTGAAAATTATGAGTTAAGTACAACATTACTAATGACCCTGCTTTGTGACTGCAGGGCCCACCAGGCTCATTTGACTTCCTGTTGCTAATGATGGCAGACATCAGAAACGACATTGCCGAGCTGCAAGAGAGGGTGTTTGGACACAGGACTCACTCATCAACAGAAGAGTTTCCATTACCTCAGGAATTTACAAACTATCACGACACAGTAGATCTTGGATCTGGAGAAGACTACAAACCACGGGCAGCACCCAGAGACTCCAGGATACAGAAGGCAGCCCATCCTTAGCTAGGCCTACTGAAAAAGAGCCCCTTAGAGTTGTTCCATATAAAAATGCACTGACAATGTAAAATATATATATATATATATATTTTCCCAGCTTTCTCTTTGCTTTTCCCCAACCATGCTGGCCATACTGTAGCTTTCTCAGTTCACAGTGGCCTCCTTGCAATAATTCCATATCATCAAGCCTGCACTCTGCATTGTATCTAGACCATCAGGAAAACCTTTCTGGCATATAGGGCTAGCATGTTAAGGCATGCTCTAGCTAATGGTGCAGACAACAGCATCTCATCTGATCTGGACATTTGATCAGTGTCCAAACGACCCAGTACCTAGACTTTTGCCAGAGATGAGGGGATAGCTTTCCTTGAAAATTGTGAAACTACCATGTTTTCACATCAGTAGTGAAAACATAGGTCCAGAGTTACTTTATCCATGTAAAAAAATTATATCACTGACCTCAAGTTCTCACCTAGTGTCTCCAGGCTTAGGAAATGGTGAAGAGTAGGTCCCTGTTTTACAGCAGAGGCCAGCAGCAACTCAAATGTGCCCTTCTAATATGCCTTATCTTCTCAGGGGGGCAGGAAATAGCTAAAGCAGTGATAAAAGGGTACTGTGTTTGACTTGGAAATGATTTGGTTTTGTATTGCTACAGTGTATTATGCAAAGAGTCAAGATGTGTCTGAACTAAACTACCCCTACTTCTCCCTTACCCTTCTCCTGCTGCTCAGTGTGGGAGCAAGTCTCTTCCTCAACAGATTCCTACTGGGTACATCACAACAGGAGAGAACAGGAAATTTACGAAGCAGAACACAGAGTTGCAGTGTGTTTAGTTGATATTCAAGGAGCATGAGTAGGTGCAGGTCTGCATATGGCAAAACACAACTGGCACTTAGATAGCTAACGCAAGGGGATACTATATTTGTAAAGGGGGATGAAAGGAAATGCCTTTTTTTTTTACACTGGAATACTGGATGCATGAGTTAGTTAGACCATACCTCATGGATGATGTGTGTTACCGTTACTTTGGGTTTACCACAGCTGCTGAGAACATTGCCACAATCAGAAGATAAAGATGTGAGGAGTACATTAAGCACAAAATGTTTAAATATCATATTGTATCTGTGTAACTACTACTTCTATGTGTAGTGCTGGGACTAGCCCATGTTACAACACAAGAAAAATTTCTCATTTTGCCATGCTTTTCAGGACTATCTTGTTCTAAAAAGATACATACAGGGAAAAAAAATATAATCAGGCTCTTTCCAGATCCTTTATACAGGTTTGGATTTCCTTCCATGTTTTCCGAGCCAGAAGACAGTTGGTATAATCCCTGTACTGCTAGTACAGGTGATGTTGTATACACAATTGGCTATTCTAGATCCTTAGTATCTTTGTATAGTATCGTAAGAGTTCATTCCTATACCTGTTTTACAGCTCCACACTGTCAGTATGCCACAAGCAAGGGCATTAGCTTTAAGAATATTAATGGCTTTTTTTCCCCTCTTCTTTTCACGTTATATGTTATAAGTATCAATGCATTAAAAAAAGTAGTGTATAGATCAGCGGTAGGTGGCAGCTTAGGAAAGATGGGTGTTCGCACCCTGTGGTCTTTGGGTTTCTTTTCTGCAAGGAACATTTTCAGCAGCTACAGATTCAAGTAAATCCAATTGCAGATCCAGGCAATGGGTCAGTGAGATTTAGGCAGAAACTTGTAACCAAAGAGGGATGGTCTCATGGGAGCAGACTGAAAGAAGCTGTAGGACAGCAGGTCTTATTTTCTTAATTCCAAGCAGGCAATTGGGTATAAATGCCACAGCTCAGCAATATGCAATTTTAAGTACATTTGTCAAATTATGTATATGCTTACTCTCCTGCATGTTACCCTCCCCATCACCTGCTGGATCAGGTTGGTTTCTACTACAGAATTACTAATTGCAGTTTTTAGGACCATATCTAGTAAGTTACTACATAGCAAGTAAATTTTATCTCCACTATCCTCTACCCACAAGGAACAATTCTCCTCAAAAAACAAAAACAAAACCCACTTGCTTTAGTTTTAAGCTGTTTTTTCCAAATATAAACAGTAAATTACAAGCTTCTACAGTTTCATCACCAAACTTAGGAGAGTGAGGGGGTGAGGAGGGAGAATGCCCTGCTGTGCAGAAATATCCACAGAAATGAAATTCTGGCACTGAACTAGAAGCGTAGAAAAAAGTGTATGCCTCAGAGTGAAGAAAAAAAGAGTTCTAAGTCCTATAGACTCACAAACATCAACCAGGGCACATAGGTAGGTGCCTTCTAAATGTGGACCTGAGTATCCCCCCCTTTCCAGAATCCGCATCAAGATTTTTTACAGCCTGGAGTGGGGGTTCCAAGAGCTGTTTCCTCCATAAGAGGATGACATGGAAGAGGAGGACAGAAACCTGCTTGGTTTTGTCCTGTGCTTTGCTTCCCTCTGTCCATAGACTCCCAGCAGCTGGGGGGTGAGTCCCAGCAGTGGAAATGCTACAGCAAGGACAAGGGGACACGGGATTCCTCCTGCAGGGAGAGCCCCTTTGAGCCCAGGGTTTGGGAAGGTTCAGCCTTCTGCTGTGTCAAGATCTTTGTACAGACCTTTCTCATTTTATTTCTGATTAACCACATGATAACTGTCATAAGACAAAGATTATATCAGAAACTGTTTTATTAAGGTGTCATCTTCTACAGGAACACACACAAACACTCAGAAAGACAGGTAAAATCTTCTTCACGCCAAAAGTTTTACAAATCCAGACCAGGTGAAACGTTAGCAGTTTAAACTGTGGTTAGTAGGGAGAGGGGGAGGCCATTAGCTTGTAAATTATTTACTACTCTATGGCTCCAAAAAGACATTAAAACTCCAAATAAGATTGTAGAAACATCTACACTCATGTCTAGTTTTGTTACTAGGCTCATGCACATGACAACTTTGATTCATATAGTTAAATACTATGTATAATTTTATTAGAGAGATTATTTTGATGTTAAGACATCAAGTTATAAGCAGAAGGATAATAAAGAGTTTGTTATTTTATTAATATTGGAAATATATTTAATGGAAACATTTGCAAAAGTGTATAGTGCTGGGAAAATGAAGATTGTTAATGGGTTTAAAAAGTCAAAAGCCAAGAAAACTTCTTTCAACACTATGTCAACTACATACAGGATTAGTCTTTCTTGCAAAACTGAAATACTGACACAAAAGAATTCCTGCATGGTCAGACTAAAACAGGAAAATGAAAGGAAAATTGATTATAAATGGCAGGAAGGTAATCTGCGGAGTTACTGATGGTATCACAGCTTGAATAACCTTTCTTTTCTACAAGTATTTCAGAGTTAGTATGTTAAACCTCAGTGGAGTAACAAAAGATGGGGATGGGATCCGAGAATTTGTTCTTAATTTCACATAAAAGACAGTATGTTTGTTGCTATCTCACATTCCAATAACTATACTTTTCACTTTATTTATATAAGTATATGAAATACTAAAATGTGTACAAAATGACTGTGATTTTATGATGTATTCCTAATAACAAAGATATTTTTCTTATGCTGTTGGTAGTTGCTTTTGTTACGTAAGCTACGTCCTGAAAAAATGGGAATGTTGCTCGGAAGCAGGAGGAAACCCCCTTCCAACATCTTGCAATGTCACACAACCACGCACATCCGAGGGTGGGATGGTGAGGACATGAGTTCCTGCAGAATATGCCGTGTCCCTGTGGAAATCAGGTGTTTATGCCCTTCTGGGGTTATGGTGGTGGTACCAACACTGGCTGAGCACAACATGACCCTGTTCCTGGAACTTCCCCACGCAACCTGGGGATGAGACATGGAGCATGAGGCTCCATTCACATCCTGTCACCGAGACTGGGGGGAAGAGGTGACACAGGAAGGATCGGGCACCCATTGCCCTGCCTCGCGTTTGCCTCGCTCAGAGAAACGGCCCGTGCGGGCGCTGCGCGCCGCGAGCCCC